ATGATCCTCCTGCCTCAGCCTCCTGAGTGCTGGGATTACAGGTGTGTGCCACCATGCCCGGCGATTACGACACTTTCTTGAACAGGCTGGGGAGATCCACGTGAATGAGATCCACAGAAAGCTTTGGCACAGTCTGGCACACAGGGAGCTTGCCTATGAACACGTTCTCTGATTCTAGCATGTTGGTGTTGGGCTCTCTGTGGTCAGACAGGGAGCTCCCCAGAGACCAGGGCTCCCTGTCTCTCCCAAGGGAATCCTTAGGGTTTAGGAAGGAGAATTCCTTCAGACCAGCCAGAAAGGGGTTGATGACTGCTTTAGGCACTTTCTCCTTCCCTCTGAAAAGGACAATGTTCTCTCCTTCCCTGGTGACATCCTGAGAAACAGCCTCTTTACCTACCATGAGTGTTACCCCAGAGGTCAAGAGTCGAGGGATGAAGTTTGCTGAGGAGCAGCTGCTAAAGCATGGATGGACTCAAGGTGATCCAGGGGGGCTTCCCACACCAACTCCCTGCCTACCTCTTGTCCTGGGGGACCTGTCAGTCTGGATTAGTTCCTATAGTCTTTTCAGTAGAAGAGGGAAAACTAGTTTAAATAGAAATCTGCAGAATTTTCTGACTCATCCTGAAAATGGGAGAAACTTAATGATGGAAAACAAACACGTGGTTGGATAAAGGGAGACATTAAAAGATGTGGCCTCTGCCCCAAGTTGTAACAGCAAAGTTTGGGCTCAAAGAGAATAGGACTGCATGGCATGGTAATCCATTTACCCTTCACATATCCAGAAGTGCCAAGAGGATTTCTAGAAGGGACAGAGTATTTCCCAATGCCAGATAGTGGAATGGCAAGGAGTGGCATGTGTGTGCAATGCTGAGGACTCAGGTAGTCTGCAGAAGCCAAGTCACCCATTTTCCTCTACAGGAAAAGGCCTGGGCCGGAAGGAGAATGGCATCACTCAGGCCCTCAAGGTGACATTGAAGCAAGACACTCATGGGGTAAGACTGGGCAGGTTGGTCAGCATGAACAGGAAAGGGAACCCTGGACAGCATATGGGGCAGGTACTCAGCTCATACTTCCTCTCCTGGCAGGTGGGACACGATCCTTCCAAGGAGTTTACAAACCACTGGTGGAATGAGCTCTTCAACAAGACTGCAGCTAACTTGGTGGTGGAAACCAGGCAGGTATGAGCTGATAGGCAGCCATGTGAAACCTGACAGGCTGGGACACAGAGCTGGGGAAGATATGGTATGTCACTCACTGACACTCTCCTACAGGATGGAGTACAGATCACGCGCCTCTCTAAGACCACCCAGCGAAATCATCCCAAGCCCAACTTGCTCTATCAGAAGTTTGTGAAGGTATTACAGGCTGGGATGAGAGTCCCTCCCTCGTCTCCCCTGTGCTCAGCTGATTCTCAGGAAGGTCCCAGAATAGTGAGATCCTGTGCCTAATCTTATTGTGCTTAAGAATGGCCAGGCCCTCAGCAAAAACTGAGGTCTTTGAGCTCTATGGATCCCTGCTGTCTGCTGACAGGGAAGCGGGGAGGATAGAGTGGGTTGGGTGGTGGTATGGGTATCTCAGTCAAAAGATAAGACCTGGGAATTACCTAGTCCATCCTTATTTCACATATGTGGCTAAAAGGGTGGAACCTACCTTGGTAAAGAGCTCACAGTTGGTTAGTAATGGCAGACATGACCAAAACCCAGGTCTTGGGGTTTTACTTTTACCAAACTGACAAAAGTTAACATTTAATGATCATATGCTAAGGGCTTTACACATTACTCAGCAAATCTTCCCTTCTCTGTATCTTTGTTGCCATATACTGCTCTGTGCCATCATCTTTTATTTATTTTTGTCTTTTTGAGATAGAGTTTTACTATGCATTTCAGGTTGGCCTTGAACTCAACTTTGTAGCCCAGGCTGGCCTTGAACTCACAGCAATCCTCATGCCTCAGCCTCCTGAGTGCTGGGATCACAGGGGTATGCCACTACACCTGGCCATCACCCCTTTAAATAGTTTCCTCACCATTAGTCTCATGCCACCCAATCCATTTACCCTTCACATATCCAAAATGTGAGTTGGAGGCCCTCACAGGGAGTTCAAGGTCAGCCTGAGCTACACAGCGAACAAAACTCATCCAGAGTGGGTTTTGTTTTTAGGGAGCAGTGCTGGGAAATGCACCACTGCCTCATGCCTGCAAGACAAATGTTCTATCACCAGCTACATCCCCAGCCTGAGCTTTCTAGAACACTGAATTGATCTTGTCACTGGCTGTTCTCTGACCACATGGCAGCCCAAACTTACCAGGCTGGCTTTTGTGGTCCTTTATGCTTTGTCCCTGCCTGCTTCAGCCTCCTTTCTTGCCAGTTCTCTTTAGGACCACTACACATCAGAATCTTTTCTTTTGACACTGTTCTCCCACCTTCAGGTTTCTACACATGCTACTACTTTGGCCAGGGACTGGCCTTTGCCACTTCCCCTCTCGTCTTCCAAGGCAAGAAACTCATCCGTTTCTCCCAACCATTGCATGAACCCTGCACTCTTGCACGGCCTGCATCTCTACCACAGGCAACACTTCCACCATAACTGCTCGCATCCTCCTGGGTTCCCATCTCATCATGTAGTTGCATCTGGGCTGGAACCACCTTGATGTCACTCTGCTCTGTATCCCCAACTCCTTGGCCATAGGAGAGTCTCAGTTAATCCAGTTAAGCAAGAATAGGTATTGGGTGGCATGTACAGTGCCACTTTTATTGTCAGTTACAGCACCACTGGGAGGACCTGGTGACCCACAACACTTCCCTGCTTGTGCCCGCCAGCCAGCTGTGAGCCAGAGGCAAGGCTGCTCCGCCTCCTGGCTCTGCAGCCCACCCCCAACTCAGGATGAAGCAAGCAGGCTGCTGCAGCTCTCTCTGGCTCTGCAAGGAATAGTGTTGGCTGGCAGGTTCCTGCCTAGGGCTATGAATTCCTGGTGGGCTTCCACAGGGGAAGATGGATGTGAGTGTGGTGAGTGGGCCTTGTCCACACCTATGGCCCCCATTTGATCCCCTCTCTAGACAGCCACGCTGACTTCAGGTGAAGAGAAACCAGACAGAGACTTGGAGAGCTGCACTGATGACGACAAGCAGGGGCCCACGCCTCCAAAGATGTGAGCCTTCTCTTAGCACTGGGCCATGTGGGAGGAGATGCCCTTGATCATAAGTGAAAGGGCAAGTCTGATGCTTGACTGGGCTGGGGGTGGGATAAGTAAATTAGGTTCCAGTAATCTTTCTATCTATAGCACCTTAAAAAGTGCCAGGTCTTGAACAAAAACTCAGTATTGAAGAAATGTTCTGGAGGGGAGGAGAGGCCGAGTCCTCCTACCAGATCTGGGTGTAACTCTTCTTGTGCCCCCACAGTCTGACTGACGAGATGCTGCTCCAGGCCTGTGAGGGGCGAACAGCACACAAGTAAGTCGTGGTCACCTCCTTAAGCTCCTCTTTTCTGCCCAACCTTGAGGATGGCCTTTGCCACCTTTGGATTCTTTTCACTCCAGGGAAATAATTCCTACTATCTACCCATCTACTGCCTGAGGACAGGCAATTCTCTGCCCCTCACCTCAGCCTTCACCGTCTCCTGCAGGCCTATTGTCTGCAGGTAAGGCCCATCGTCCTTGATACCTTTGCTGACTGGGACCTAATCTGTTTCAGGGCTGCCCGTCTTGGGATCACAATGAAGGCCAAACTTGCTCGACTAGAGGCCCAGGAGCAGGACTTCCTGGCTCGTCTCAAAGGCCAGGACCCAGGGCCCTCTCTACCACAGAATGAGAGGAAGCCCCCCCAAAAAAAGAAAAAGAAAAGGAAGCAGAAAGAGGAGAAAGAGGCTAGAACAGAAAAGAATCAGGAGCACCTAGATGACGAGCACCTAGAACACACTAACCAGAGCATCAGGAAAAACAAGAAGAAAAGGCGACATAAAGAAAAGGTTACAGATGAGAGAAAGGAACCCTTCGGGAGGGAGGTGGAACAGGATACAGGGCTTGAGGAACTGAAGAGCAGAGCACAATCTGATCAGCCTCCCAAGAAAAAGAAAAAGAAGCATCGTGACAAAGTGGAGGAGGCGACAGAGGTCTTGGGTAAAGGAGGAAGAGGGAAGGAGGCTGTGGGGTGCGTCCTGGAGAAGGTGGTGGTGTGCAGAGCATGCACTGACCCCTGTAGCAGAAGCAAAAAGACACAGCAGTATGAGGAAGGCTTGAAAAAAGAGGATGAAGGGGAGGAGACAGCTTTAGATGGTGAGACCAGGAGAGCAGAAGGCAGGACACACAGTGTTAAGAGAAGCAAGAAGACAAGACAGCAGCATTGGGAGGAAGAGGTCTTGGGTGTACGTGATGAAGATGAGGATGGTGGGACAAGGGAAATAGAGAGCAGAGATAAGAAAAGGAGGCGGCAGCACTCAGAGGGGGAGAGAATTAGAGTCAGCCCTAGCCAGAGAGTCAGAAAGAAGAAACAGAAGAGAGTCTGAATGTGTGGTCAAGGTGGGGCTCAAAACTGACTCCTTTCCAGCTGTGGTCTTGAGACCTGTGTTATTGCAGGACTTGTCACTCCTACATGAAGCTCCTCCCTACCAAGGAGGAAACAGCTCTCTACTGCGAGAACTTTGCCAAACCTTAGTGGAGGGCATGGATGTCGTGCCCTCTGCAGCTTATAACCCAGAGACCACAATTTCAAGTGCTTCCAAGACCCCCAGCAGCTGAGGGACAAGAAGTGCTGAGGACTGTAAGAAAAGGAATGTAGATGGGGTGTCTGCATTTGAGGGTGCACCTCTGCTACAAGAGGCTGAAAATACAGGCTTACAGGACTGTCTTGGTTTTTAGATATTGTGATGCTAAGAAAATCAAAATTTAGGTCTATAGGCCAGATTCAGCTCACATGTTCCCCATTTCTGATGTTATTTATAAATAAATACCATCAGCCTGGGTTTGAGCCTACAGGTGAGTCCCAACATGCTTCTCTACTCCCAGCCTGGGAAAGTGCTGAGTTCAAATTATGAGATTTTCCTTGGAGCCTTTTAAGAAATTCCTTCTGTTAACCTCCTGAAGTCTTGTTATGCTGAGCTGCTAAGTATGCTAAGTAATATGCTAAGTAGCTTAGAGTTGCATCCACCTCCCTGTCTGTGTTCCAAAGAGGTAAGAATCACTCATGTGTAAAGGACAGCATACCTCATTGTATGTAATAGTTATTTTTCACTGCTTCCAGTGCCACAGTGATCTCTTCTTGCCTGTTCTGTTTAAGAAACAGCACCACATCTCCGGCGTTGCTCTCTAGCTCCTACCACCAATTTTTTTTTTCTTTTTTTGGTCTTTTTTGAGACAGGGTTTCACTATGCAGTTCAGGCTGCCCTTGAACTCACAGTGATCCTCCTGCCTCAGCCTCCTGAGTGCTGAGATTACAGGCATGTGCCACCATGCCTGGCCTGCCCACTAGTCTCTGTGGCCAGAAAAGCTCCAAGCCTCCACAGTTCTGGGAGAGAGGGACTAAGTCTCTATTGGGAAGCATGCTCACCTGCCTCCCTCACTGCAGACGATAGACACATTCAGTGTCAGGGTAGGGCGGCAGGTTCAGCTGGTACTTCTTTTCTAGGGCAGGTGGTACAAAGCGACCCCCCAAGTAATGGTAGCGACCAGTAAACTGGGTTGCAGACTTTTTGGGTGCCGTCAAGGAGATGAGCATATCTGGCTGGATCCCTCCAGAGTTTCCTTTCTCCACATCCCATCCTGAAAAAAAAGTACTCTTCAAGAGGCATGGAAAAGGTCACAGGTCTAGACCCCTTCCACATGCTGCTTCATGCCAGTCCTAAAGCACCCCAGAGTCTCATTGTGAGGAGCTCATCCTAGGACCAACATGTACTTTTGACCTCGACCATCTTCATGGGGCCAACATGGAAAGGAGGCTCCTGAACTTTGTTCCCCAGCCCTAATATGGGACCTGGAAAGCTGTGTTCTGCCCACCTATACTGAAAATTATGAGACCAGATCTGAGTTGTCTCAAGAATTAGGACTCCTAGTTACCAACCCTAAGAGAGTATAGGACCTCAATCCTCCCCAACCTTTAGATCCCAGCACCTGAGGGAATGTCGATGCTGGCAATGGGCACAGTGAGTTCATTCAGGACACTCAGGATGCTGCGGAATGGCTCACGAACATCGCCTTTGAAGCTGAAGCCAAAGATGGCATCGACCACCAGCTCATACAGCTCATCAATCATCATGGGCTGCAGTGAGGAAGAAAAGGATGTCCGGGCTGCAGCGGCACAGAGAGCCTTCTTGGGGAGAGCTGGCCTCTGACCCAGAGCCCTCAGGGCACACAGTACAGTCGTACCTCATATAGAGGGTCTCCTAAGTTCTAGAGTAAGAGGGAGTTGGTCACTGAATCAGGCCAAGTTAAGCCTAGACATTGTTTTGGCAATAATGTATGAGGGTCTGTGGAACTCAGAAGAGCTCTGCCACTGAACTACATCCGCAGCTTCCCAATCTAAGTGCCTGCTTGCCAGTGGGAGGGCTGCAGTGTGAGTTAGGAGGACTGGATTCTGGTCTTAGCTGTGAGACACAGGGCAAACGACTTCTCTGCATTTCATCTGTAAAAGGTGGTAAGAAATTTAGTCTCAAACTGCCCATCCCTGAATCCACGCATCTGCAGAAAGGGTTTAGAAGGAGGCAGTTTCTCCAGCCCTGGAGAGACAGGCCAGGCAGTGTGCAGTCTGCACTGAGGAAGATCTGACTACAGGGGAAGGAGGGACAGACCGGGCAAGCTTGAGAGGTGGTGGTGTTGGGGACTCACTCTACCACTTCTTTTAGGCACCTTTTAGGCTGGGCTCTGGGTGAGCTCCGCCTGGAAACGAAGCGCAGAGCGCAGTCGGGGTAACGGAGAGGGGCTGAACTGAAGCCACTCACCTCTGAGGGCATTTCACTGAGGAAAGGGATGTCCATTTTCTGACACTGCGTCACGAGTGCAGTGAAGAGCGGTTTGTTAGGCCTCTTGGGGTAATGGATGGTTGGCTGGTAACCCTAGGAGAAAAGGAAAGTGGAATTCAAACTCAGACCCTGTCGCCCTCATGCCCTCTCCCAGGGCGTCCCCTCCGCATCGACTCACGAAGAGTTTGAGGTGTCGGGCACAGACCAGCCCATCTCCGCCGTTATTCCCCGGGCCACAGACGACCAGGACAGCAGGGGGGCTCTTGGACATGGCCGCGGCGGGATACGCCTGGAGGCAGAGGCCGGGAGTCGGGCGCTGTGCCGCCAGCGCCGGTGCCAGGCGCGGGGCCTGGCGAGCGCCACCCCCGCTCCGCCCAGAGGCCGCGGACGGCACCCCTGACCTTCGCGATGGCCGTGGCGCAGCTCAGGCCGGCCAGCTCCATGAGTTGGTCCACGCTGAACTGGTACTCGTTAAATAGCTCCTGGTCCACGGCCTGCGCCTCCTCCTGGCTGTGGGAAGCCGCAGCCTGAGCCCCCACCCGCAGGGACCGTCCGCTCCCGTCCCGCCCCCGGCTTCGCCTACCTCAGGTATTTCACCGCCGTGCCCGCCATGACTTCGGAGTTCCCAGGGCCGGCCGAGCTCAGCCGCTGCGCCCCCCACCCGGGGAGTCCTGCGCGGCACACGCCGACCTGGCTTCGCACGCGCGGCAGCCGCGAGCCGGCGACCAGCAGCCCG